TTGCTTTTTCTTAGATTAACTTTAATTAATTCATCTCCTTGTACTTGTGTGCGTGCGTTCCTTGGAGGCATCTTGTTCGTATCCTAACTGCAAGTTTCATATTCGATAAACACCCATTTTTGGGACTTTGTTCCAAGAGGTTTGTCCCTTACACAATCATCTGATCCCTTTTTAATTGTTAGCGAGTAAACGCGCGAAACAGTTTGCTTTACAAATTCACACCATTGTAACAACATATCAAGTTGTTATGTGTATTCATTTTGAGAAAATAACGTAAACTATATCTTAACATGCTATGTCGTTGGGTTACATTTTTGTTGGAAGAAAATGGGTTGTCCACATGGACTGACTCGACTCAAATTGCACGTGAGTAGTTTGAAGGGAAAAGTTGAGGAAATCGAGGTTTCGAATTTGAAACTATAACTTGTCACCACCTCTAACTTTCATAATACACCCACTCCACCAAAAAAACATGCATGAAAGAATGAAAATTCTGGTATAAGCATAGAGAGAAAAATAGAAAAGGTGTGTCGGTTGGTTTTGGAAGAATCACATCTCAAATTTGATTCTTGGATTGTGAACACCAAACTCTTTCCATTGTGCTTGAGTTTCTGACTAGAGAATGAGTATTTGGTGAGTAAGCAAGCAACAAAAAGACAAGTAATTCAACCTCTCAATTCATGGAATTCAAGTAAGTTCTACAACTTGGAACCCAGATAGAAGCATGTTAGCATGATTTATATTGATATGAGAACCTAAATAGGTTGTTTTCTTGCTTAATTACATGCTGTAAATGATTCGGAATGATCAAAATGCATGAATTTCGTTTTCTTTCAAAGCTTGGATATCATTAATGGAAACTTATGATATACTATTATAAATTCATGAAAGTGATACTATGTTCATGGTAGCATGTAGAACATGTCTACAAAATTTCATATTATTTGAATTTGCATTTTGGAAGAAAAATCGGACCGTGGTTGTAAAACTCGAAACTTCATTGTATAATAAATTCTTGTACGTTATTAATATGGTTGGATAGATCTTCTCAAGACCTTTCTAAAGATATAAAAATCATTAATTTTGGCCTTGTAATGAAGAAGTTATGGTCTCCCAAAGTTTTGACGAAAATCTGAATTTTGGCCAGTTTTAAAAACACAATGAATTTTTTTATTTTTTTTCGATGTTCACTCTCCGTCCGATCTGTTGGTGTCCCAACATAGCTTTAAAAATTAATGTTATAAAATACAACCACACAGATGAACTCAAAACATCAAAATCGATCGAACGGACCAAACGAAATAATTTTCAGCTTCAGCAAGGTAGCGCGTGTGGTGCGCACGTTATGATTCTAGATAAATGTCCAAATGTAGTCGAAAACTTTTGGATTGTGATTTTGGCTAAAGTTTCGGTCAAGCAATGTGGGCTGGGGGTTATTTTTCTTACATTAATAGACCTATCACAGATTGACCTTTTAGACTGGTCATGACAAGTAGGCCGGTTAAATGGATCCAATCGTAATTCTAAAAATTACAGATTGATTCCTGAATTATCTTGATTTTTTTGGTATAGTTAAATTAATTTTTGGATAGTTAAAAAAATATTTTGTTATTTAATTCTTAAAATAAAATTGTGAAAAGCATTAAAAATAATTTTTAGCTTGATTGAATTTTGAATTTTTTTTTTTATAAAGTCAAGAATATTTATTAAGAGGTATTTGCTTAGTGAGAGTTATTTTTTTGAAGTACTCTTTTTTTTTTTTTTTGAAATGTAAAATACTTTGAAAGTGTTTATAATACCAATTTTTTTATAAGTTCATAAGTTGTGTGTGTCTTGATTAGGTTATATGATTTATTATGACTAGTTTTCAATTTTTGTACTTGATCAGATATGAGTGAATCTATGCATACTTTTAGCATTCTTAGAGGAGATCTAGTAAAGCACATGTTGTGGAACATGTTGAAAAATTATGTGTTTATCAAAACTCTAAAATGGATCCACGATATAACCTAGTACAACTCATAAAACATCTAGAAACAATGCATCTAGAAGTGATGCATTTGGGACAACCTATATGTGTGGTGAAGAGTATGTATCATCTAATGAGAACTCTTCCTAAACATTGGCATGGTATTGCTATTGAAATTCTAGACAATTCACCACCTCTAGCCTACAACTATCTAATTGGGATTTTGATGAGGAAATGGAGTAAAGAAAATGAGAAATTTGTAATCAGTTTATCTATGTATTGTTAGTTTATAGTGTCGCATATCTAGTAGTTGAATAGAGAGTTTATTATGATCGTATGTACATATAACCATTTTATTATATATATATATATATGTGTGTGTGTGTGTGTGTGTGTGTGTGTATCTTTTTTACTTTATACATGCATGATTGCTTAATCGAGTGGAAGCTCTAAGGTTGAAAGAGTTTGAGTGATTTTGAAATAGGACTTATGATTTTGGGTTGTTAAATTAATTTTGTGATAAAAAAACATTAGGATAATGGACGATGATTAGAAACTTAGTGATTTTTCGACTCCATAGCTAGAGTTGAATTATCATAAAATTTGCATGAGTGCAAAATGATGTGTGTAAAAATGGACATTTGTATGATTGCGTTAAAATTTTGACGAGCCATGACATCTAAGAATATCATTGTTGACTTTAATAAGGGTGATAAATTGAATGGCGGTAACTCTAATACTTGGCGCCATAAAATTTGGTATATGTTGGAGGAACGGGGTTGCCTTGAGGGCATAAATCAAGTAATGGAATACCCAGAGAGTGTCAAACTACGCAACAGAGAAGGGATCGAAAACTTACCAAACATGGAAAAAAAATATTCCTTCGCTCATGCAATTTTGGTAAGTTCTATTGTAGACGATCTCATTCACGAGTGTGAGCAGTTCCCAATTGCTCATGACATTTGGGCATATCTGAGAAAGAAATATGGTGGTACTAGTGTAACTCAAACATCTGACTATTAAGTTTGACATTTATAATAAACATCCTAATCACAACGTCACACAACATGTAAGGACCATGTCTACTATGATTAGGGAGCTCAAGTCTGCTGGTCACATACTTTCTGATGAGCAACAAGTTCAGGCTTTGATCCACTCCCTTCCTAATAATTGGGAACATTTAAAAGTCAATCTGACTCACAATGATAAAAACTTTTATTGATACTGCCGGCCATGTTCAACTAGAGGATAAGTGACTTGGAGTTGCTAAATCCCTTGGACATGCTATTGTAGATGAATCTAGTTCTAGAAAAGCTTTAGGTTTTAAGCGTAGGATGAACTAGACTAAAGGCAGGAAAGGAAAATGAAAAGAGACCGAACAAGCTGAAATGTTACAACTGTCAAGTGCAATATCACTTTGCTAGGAATGATCTGAGTCGAAGGAGGTAGCTCTTGTAAATACTTCTTTTAGTATTTTTTTTTTGTTTCTAGCACAGTTATGCTACTTAATCCTATCATATGTGGATTGTAGACTCAGGAGAGACGAACCATGTAACTAGGGATTGAGAAACAATTGTAGAGTTTCGTCGATTCTAGCCGATATAAAATGGATATATGTCGGCACCTATGATAGAATGGAGAGTTTAGTCCCTGTTTGAGCCATATTCTCATTTTCATTCTTATTCTTCTACTCATTTTCAATCACACATTCTTCAATAAAATAATATTTTTTATCACATTAATAATTTTTCCTTCTTTTTCAACCACATATTCACTATCACATCACAAAAAAAAAATGCATTATCTCCTAAAGAATGTGCATCAAACACACTCCTAGATAAAATTAGTACGTGTGAAGTTGTTTG